GGGGGGGGGGAATGGCATCCATTTAGAATAGGGTCTTTTATGACTTGTGGACCAACTCCCAGAATTCTCCCAGTTCCCCCCCCCCCTCTGATTTAGAAGATCATAAGTCAACAAACCCAATTATAGGATCTAGAATTAAAGGGGCAACTGTTTGTTAAAAGAATGGAATAGCACAGATTCAGGATAATCATATAAATCAAAGATTAAAAAATTTGCCTTATAAATTTTGATTGAAAAGGAGCATCAAAAAAATCAAAGAAAGTTATTTTGTCCTTCAAAATAACCTGAGGATCATTAACATACTAGCAGTTTGGCTTATTGGAACAGAAGGACCATGCAAGAGAAATGCACTTCCATACTACAGCTAGAGTAAAGAGGCCAACCCAGTTGCCTGTTTTGATATCTATTTGAGGGAGAAGGGAACTTGGGAGGAGCTGACAAGAACACAGAGAGTGGTACTTGGTCACGAGATTAAGATTGTATAGAGTAGTGTTTCTCAACTTTAGAAATGCCAAAATGTCTGGACTTCCCAGGTGGATGGGGGATTCTGGGAGTTGAAGTCCAGATACATTAAAGTTGCTAACATTGGGAAACACTGGTGTAGAGATTTACTTTTGCATTAAGGAATAATTTGGTGGTATATCATGTGACTCCAATGCAGTAGAACACACCAATGTAAGATTAACTTTTCTTTTGAGTAAGGTGTTACCACAAGCTTCTCTAATACTTCTTATAATTATGTCTAATTATTATTATTATGACACCTGTCCTAGTAATATTTTTTCTATCTTGGAGTTATAAAGCAGCAGAAACTAATGCATATTTACACATTTTAGCTGTAATAAAAACTCAAGATACAGTACCTCAATGAGCTACCTTATTCACAAAAAACACACATAGAAATGAGGATATATTGTTTCACAGTAGGGCTGTACATCTTTTCTGATGACATCTCAAAGGAATGTACATAGTAATCGGAACCACATTTGAGATCAAAGTTGTCATCGGTTAATTCCAGCAGAACCTTTCAGAGTTACTTAAACATTTTCATATCATAAAAATTAGATCATAATTATTTTGGTCATGATCATAACTAGTTTAAAATAAAGTGTGATTGAATGAACCAATAGAATATTTGCAAACAATATTTCTTGGTTGAACTGTATTAATCTTTCTGAATGTTTTGTAGAAATAAATTTGAACAGTACCTATTTAAGTGAAGCATATGGCATTATTTTAGACTAAATAATTTTATTGTGTGCAGTGTTACAAATTGTTTTATTGTCATGAATATGCAATAAGAGAACAGAGGAACTGGCTGTCTGTTCAGATTCAGAGCCCTTTGATGTAATGTTCTATTTCAAGCAAAAGTGCAGATATGTCTCTAAAGTCTTTGGTCAGACTGTGCAATTAAGTTAATACGCATGGGGGGAGCGGGGCGCTTATTGGGCAGATTTCCCCAACAAAGCATCTTCCAGACATTTAACTACAAGAATGCTTAGCCAGCGTAGCTAATGGGAAAATTGGGAATGCTGTGATAAGACTTAAACAAAAGTAGAACATCTATTTGAAGTATAATTGCAGTTTGAAGAAAGAATTCACGTGGCTTCAAAGAACATATATTACTTTTCCCATGTCCTACTTTTTAAAATATTAAACTTGCCTTCATGTTGTTTTTTAGCCCATCAGTACAGTTATAAACATATACCTTATATATATGTAATTCTTCTTGGAGATAATTATTTTGAAAGCATAGATGACACTTTTTCACAGAAATGTGTCGTATTTTAGTTTCTTAGACTTCTTTTTGTAAAAAATAAAATAAAAATAAAATAACTATCGCAGAAATATTTACCAAGTGAACAACTGCACTTTGATTACTTATGAGGTAAGCATAAAACAAGACTTACATTAAATATAAAATAAATTGCATAGTTATTATCCTTCTGTCTTGAACACTGATGAAAAACAAATTAAGTAGTAGACTATATTTAAAATCTCTCATCTTAGTTGCTTCTGGAATTGGAAAAGAGACATTCAATCAACTTTTTACACCAGCTTTTTGGCCATCAAACACTAAAGCCAAGAAAGGAAGGAAGGAGGAAGGAAGGAAGGAAGAGAAAGAAAGAAAGAAAAAGAAAGAAAGAAAGAAAGAAACTCTTCTCTGAAGAGAATCCATTGTAGAGAATCAGCCTAGCAAACCTTGCTTGATTATCTGTTTTTAAATTATAAAACATAAATATAATCCTATTTATAACAAAGGAGAGTTTAGAAGATTTTAAAATTGAGGGATTCCATAGCCAAATTGCCATAAAGCAGAACAGTAATCTCTCAATACCATCTTCTGGAAATTGTCATTGAAATAGGATCAGAACTACCATGGTACAGGGCCTTCACATCCAATTTAGATGGTCTAAACAAGATGCTATGTTCAATATTTTCAGGACATTGATAGCTCAAGGAGAACCAAGCAAGCAAGCAAGGAGAATTGCTATCTTTGTCTTTTTCCTGACACAGATAATTCCACAGGGTGACCAAAGTGATTTCTTTTTTATAGCTAAGTCTGAAATCAGTTTGAAATGAATCTAAAATCATTTTCACCTAAGATAATCTGTAACTGATCAGTTACCACCCTCACAAACTCCTTGCCTAGCAAGGGAATATTGACCACTAGCATGTAACTGATCCACTGGGTCCAGGTTTTGTTTCTTCAGGAACAGCTTGATCATTGTCTCTTTTACAGAGGTAGACACCACACTCTGTCTGGACAAGGCATGTACAACTTCCTGCATCCATCAATCCTGAATTACTCTAAACAAACTTTTTGTACTATTCATCTTGTATTATTTTCTATTGGTTAGTAAACATTACTAAAGCCTTGTTAATAAGGGGCTTTTTCCAGTGGGATGCTAATGTTTCTTTCCAGGATTGGCAAATGTTTCACTGTAGATACTTCAGATGTATTTAATTTGAATTGTTTCTGACCTTTTCTGATACTCTATTTCCCATATTGGTGACTCACAACCAGCAGCCCAAAGTAAAGGCAAGTCATCTCTTTTACTTTTGAAAATGGAGAGCAAAGTTTGGGGGTTTACATGTATCCCCAATGAAATATATACTGATCTCTTGATCTCCCATATCTTCCAGGACATTGACATCCCAAGATATTCATTCATTCATTCATTCATTCATTCATTCATAAATAAATAAATATGAAATATAGTATAATAAAACTGGCAGCCTGAACATCTTCCATTCTGCCATTTAATTAGGATTGAGCCATTGGTTTTCTTCACAGAGGTAACACAGTGTGGAAGAAAAAGGACTTCAGGGAATTCAGTTACTACTCTAATTTACACTTTATGAAGTCAGCAACCCTGAGTGGCTATGCTTGTAAGACATGATAAAAACAGGCTGTGGGAGTAGCACTTATATCAACATTCAGTCTCAAGCATGTGAAAGGGAGCACATTAATGTGTTGTACAGAAGAGCCCTAAAGTGTAGGATGGACTCTATGAAAGTAACTTGGGTCTTTGTTATGTTCGTCTTTGCAGTTTGCTCAGCAATTTGAAATGGACAAGAAATTAGTAACCAGTTCAGCTATGTTGGTACAGGACCAATATAGCACATATAACGTTGCTGCTTTCTGGACCAACTGCAGTTTCTGGACACTCAAATGAGTAAATTGCAGTAACCCAGTGTTAAGTTACTGGCTATGGTTTATCAGCTTAAGTTAACCAAAAATGCTATTTAGGTAAGTGTCAGGGTCAAATTTAGGTGGAACACCAGACACAGAACTTGATTCTTAGGGGAAAGGGTCAGGGGCATTTTCCCAATTTCAAAATTCAGCAGTAGTAGTAGCTCTTGCCTCATTTGAATTCCGTTTCAGCTTTTTCTCCAACATCCAGGTCCCTTACAGCCTAAACATATTATAGGGAGCCCACAGATTGAGTCCCAAAGGGCCAAACAAGAATATTGCAACAACACATTTTGATACCTCTCAGAATAATGTTTTAGAGAGAGAGAGAGAGATGCAAAATAAACTCTTCAGGACAACGTAACTGAAGTAAATCAAATGTTGCCTTTCAATTGTTTTCTCATTTGAAACATTTATTATTTTATATTAGATATGGAGATTTGTATTAACAAACATACCTGACATTATGTTTACTATTAATTACCTAAGTGGTTAAAATAGACCATTTGCCACCGAACTCAATGTACATGTAAAATGCAGTATTTTGAATCTGTGAAATGGGAAAATGCAGATGAATAAAACAGGATTAATGACTTGTAATTAAGAGTAAAAATTATATAAAGTATAAATCAAGTGAAGTTTTATTTTTGTTCTAGAATATCAATTTTGTTTAATAAAACTTTATAGATTTCAGATTGTTTCATGCATTTCTTTCACGTAGCAGTACATTCAGTTTCAAATGCAGAATCTAAGCGGTTTCACATAAATTAATTTATTACCAAAAATATGTTTTGTTTTTCTTTTTGAGAATGGATTCTTGACCTTTATTCTCACATTTCAGTAAAAGAAACAAAATAGCAGAGTAGCATTTTTAACAGCCATCAGAGAATAAACAACTTTAATTTTTTTTTTAAATCCATTAAATTAAAGTTATTAATCTTAGTGGTTTTCTTGAAGGTTGATTTAGAAAAAGCACAGAAAGGTAATAGGAGTGGGAGAGAATTTAGTGGTTATTTAAACAAAGTGTTTTCTTGAATTGAGATACAGTATTTTGACAAGGAAAAAAACCCTTGTTTTTGATAAGGGTCATTTCCCTAACCTAATCCTATGCAATTTTACATTTATCAAGGAATTAGGATCACTTAACTTTGTTCTATAGCAGGGGTGTCAAACTCACGTCATCACATGATGCACTGGAACTTTTTTTCCCCTTCGCTAAACTGGGCATGGGTGTGGCCAGCATGTGACGCATCCAGCCTGCGGGCCGGGAGTTTGACAGCCCTATTTTATAGAGATGGACTGCCATAAGGAAAAAAAATACATCTCTTGCATAGAGTTGTAAGAAAGATCAGAATGTTTATTTCCACCATTATTAACATAAAATACTAAGGCTTGTGAATGCTCAAAAAGTTTTTTTTTAATCAAAAATTTAGACTTTTAATCAAAAAGTCTAAAGATTTATTTCCAGCGTGAAAGTTTTCAATTACCCTGATCTCTTAAGCAGGCAACTCTAGCCTTCTCATTTTAGATTCTAGTCACATTTAAAAAAACATGACCCATATGATATGTAAAGGTTATGAGCATTATGAAATGAATTGTATTTCATACAATTTTTTTAAATGACCAATTTTTATTTTATTTCAGAACCATGACCATTCATGTATAGCATGTAGGATCATCTATCGATCAGATGAACACCATCCTCCAATTTTGCCTCCAAAGGCGGATTTGACTATTGGATTACATGGGGAATGGGTGAGCCAGCGCTGTGAAGTACGACCTGAAGTGCTCTTTCTTACTAGACATTTCGTTTTCCATGACAACAATAATACCTGGGAAGGTCATTACTATCATTACTCTGATCCAATCTGCAAACATCCCACCTTCACTATTTATGCAAAAGGCCGTTACAGCAGGGGTATACATTCAACCAAAGTGATGGGAGGAACAGAATTTGTCTTTAAAGGTAAGTTTCTATTCTCTTCAGTTTCAGATTTCTTCATTTTGGGTGAGATGATGATGTAATAAAGCTACTGAAAGAGATGGAATTTGAGCAGGGGGGGATTCAAATTTTTTAACAACCAGTTCTGTGGGTGTGACTTGGTTGGTGGGCGTGGCTTGGTGGTCATGTGACTGGGTGGACGTGGCTTGGTGGTCATGTTACTGACTGGGCGTGGCCAACTCAACATCATTCACATTGAGGCACGCATCTCCTTGCCTGGCCTCTCATGACTGTGGGGATGCTGCAATAGTTGTAAGTGTGAAAAAGGGTCATAAGTCACTTTTTTCAGTGCCATTGTAACTTTGAATGGTCACTCCACAAAAGCAAAGTATCAGCAGAGGAGGGGGAAAAAACTCCAGAGACGTTCCTGAGACAGGAAGTCTAGTCCTGCCAAGAATGTAATAAGGGTTAACGGAGAGGCAGTTTCTGTAAGCAACACCAGAATGTTTCCTTCCTGCCTTCCTTACAGGATTAGGCCAGTAATTTTTTCAAACAACCGGTTCTCCGAACTGTTTAGAATGTTAACAACCGGTTCTAGCAAATAGGTGCAAACCGGTAGAATCCCACCCCAGAATTTGAGGCATATGTTTTCTCCTCTTGGTTGTGGGGAATGATTTTAAACCTCATGAGGGGTTTAGTATACCAGTGGGTTTTTGTTTTTGTCTTGTTTTCTGTCAAAAAATATCAGGAAGTTACACTGCTTCTGTTTGCCTATTTGTATTGTTGTAATTCAGTTAACAGTCTTGGAGGACGTGCAAGTTAAGGCAGTTAATCAAGGAAAGTTAAAATATGCATATTATTAAAGGGAAAAGATAGCAAGGGTATGTTTATCTTCTAGGTAACAAGGAGATAAATAGGAAGGAAATACTGGTTTGAGGCAATTTTCCCAATCTCCTGCCTTTAGCTTTATTGTGTTTATACCTGCTAGAACTATGTTTTTCTGTTGGCTATGGAATTCTGGAATGTATCCTAAAGTCACTGAGGTTGAGAAACACTGCTGGAGTTTTCAGGCAGAACTGTAACCCCAATATATTTGAAGGGCACTGAATTAGAGAAGGCTGGCATAATAGAGATATTTGGGAGCAACTTTCACAATGTGAGTGTAGAGTTTAATACAGCTCTTAGTTTGGATGAGCAGAGTTCAGATTGTGTGCAGGTAAATGCATGTCAGCTCTTTAGGACACACATATCCTTTCCTAGGATTGTGCTGTCATTCTGCACGGCAGCCACACAATCCTGAGAAAGACAAATTTGACTTCAGGCATTTCCAACAGGTGCTGTCGAAAAGCTTAAGCACGCACTTGAAAGTCTTCTTCCCTTTGAATGAAAAGTGTTCCCCCACCGTATTACTTGAGATATTGGCTTTGGGCCAGGCAAGCATAATAAGTCTGCAGAACTGATTAACTGCCTGTACTTTGCCTTTAAAAAAAATCAGGTGACATGACAAAATTTAAAGTGTACCTTTTGCAGGTTAATTATAGAATAGTCTCCCTGGCTAAATGGTCAGTTAACTGATCACAAGGGCTGACTTGTATTGTTACCATAAACGTAAAACTCAACTTTAAAAATGAAATTACATCTATATTGGTAATGCCAAATAATTTTTTGCTGGGGTTTGAATTTTTATATATGTTGACACCAGAATTGACATGGAGCCAGTGAATTTGTTGAATTACATTCTCTTTTAGAAAAAAGTAGAATTACACCATATGAAAACAGTAATGTACACATGTGTACATACTGATTATTTATAGGTAAAGGGAGAAGAAAAATAAATTTATCTCACCTTGCTCTTACCAGCAAGTGAGATGAAATTATAGGATTTCTGCATCTCTAAAGTTTTATATGCACAATTGTTAAAATCAAATTGCAAATTACATTTATCACTTTTAAAAATAAAAGCTTTTTTCCTAGTGCTAATTTGTTCTAATAAGAAAGCCATAAGGTTTTGCTCTTGATTTAATTTTCCAAGAAATAACCTGGATTCTCCTCCCAAGTAGTGTTTGCAAAAAATAGTGTATTAAAAGTATAATAGAATTTTCAGCAAAATAACTGCATGAGATCCACACAGAAGATACGAATCCTTTGTTTTTCAGAATGATAAATTTTACCTGTACCCTTAAGACTTCATTACCATAGTCCAAGCATCAAACCAAAACTAATAGCTCTAGCAATTTCAGGGTTTAATCTCATGAGTAAATTATCCAGAAATTATTTGTACCTGGTTAATGAAAATTAATGAGGAAATTTGGGCAATATTGCTTGTGGCTTCAGTCCAAGGTCTCTTTAAAATGAGTTACATTGACACCAAGAACCAGCATATTACTGGACTCATCCTTATTAGAATTGCCAGGTGCGGGTAGCTAGATGTCATTCTGAGGTACAAGCCCTTTATTGGGGATTATTGGGAATTGAACTCGAGGACCTTGCAGATGGAGGGGAACATCATATACAGTATAACATAACATCCATTTCTGTCTCCTCTGAGACCTTAAGACTTCATGTACCATTCTGATGGCCTGTGAAAGATATATTTTCCCCATATTCTTGTAACAATTTCTCCTAAATGCTTATCTATTTCTATATTTCACTCAGTTCCCTCCATTGAAATCAAATGTAACTACCCACATAAAAGGAAAGTTTCAGGTGTGCAATCTACTCAGAGAGGACATTCACAAAACCTGGCAGTAATAAGCAACACAATTATGTATTTATAAACACTAAGAAATGCATTGTTGAAATACTTGTTCATGAACAAAACCCATTCAAAACTGCCAGCTCATTGCTTTTCTAGCTGCACGATATCCATGTTGGATGCAAGAGGATAACCTCTGGAAACATCTGGATTCAGCAGAGCACAGCTACAACAAAATTACTATAGTATTCCAGGAACATCATTTATTACTCACAGATCAGTAGGCAACTGTAGTTTGTCATGATTAATACTGCAAACATCCTCTTGTTCACATCTTAGAAACTAGAGTGCTAATTTAGTACTGTCACAAACAGAAACTAATTCTTTTGAGTGTTTTTAGATTTTTCTCCACAGCCTATTTTCCACGCATGCACTCAGCTACAGTGTGAAAATACTTTGAGGGGTATAATGAAGATGGAGCTAAAAGGAATGCTATCTTTAGCTGCATGAAATGCATTCTGTTCCCACTGCATCACAGTTTTTCAAGTTATTCGGGGAAGGTCAATAATACACTTTACTTGGTTGGAATCAGATCAACTGTTTGTTTTTAGTCAAGTGTCTGAGTTCATTACAGCAACCCCGACTAGAATAATAAAGAAATAGAGAGGCAGAAATAAGCAATAATGTCCAGACATAAAGATGGAGAGGTGACATTTTAGGTCCCTTCAAAGCATTATTTTAAGGCTATTTCTAAAGACCGAGCATATATTGAGAATACCCATATAAGCAAATACTCTGCTTAATTTTAATACTTAAGACTACAAGTAACATCTGTGTTTGCAGTAGTGTGAATATCTGTGTATTTTGCTTTTATGATATCTGAGATATTTTCACTCAGTGCAAATGCTTCTGCAAGATGTGTTATTTTAAATATTAACCACATTGAAAGAGGATATATCTGAGTTATCATGAATTCTAATGGAATCTCCAAGTGGTGTCTGAAAACCAATTGCTTAAAAGGAAATAAAAAGTGAAAAAGTTGTTGACTTTTTGAAAGGATCTTGATGAATACCATTGAAAACAGAATGCTGGGGCAGATGGGCAAGTGTTGGAATACCTTTGAAGCAAATTAACTTTAGACCTATTACAGTTACATCCGTTTTAATGTGTAAAAGCACAATTTAAAAGAAAACCATAATTTAAATGTAAGGATTTTGATTATGTTCACAAAATAGCATCAATTCATGACTGGACAATTCATTACTATACTTCAAAATATAATGCGCAGTTTCTTCTCTTTGCAGTAAATCATATGAAAGTTACTCCCATGGATATAGCTACAGCCTCTCTACTGAATGTTTTCAATGGAAATGAATGTGGAGCAGAAGGATCCTGGCAAGTTGGGGTGCAGCAAGATGTGACTCACACAAATGGATGTATTGCTTTGGGAATCCGTCTGCCTCACACAGAATACGAGATCTTCAAAATGGAGCAGGATGCCAGGGGGAGATACTTGCTATATAATGGCCAGAGACCTAGTGATGGATCCAGCCCAGACAGGCCAGAAAAAAGAGCAACCTCCTACCAAATGCCCTTAATTCAGTGTACATCAGCAGCCCCAAGAATAGAAGGAACATTAGAAGAAAACATTCTAGGATGGTATAATAGTGGCGCATCAGCAAGCAATTCCTGTGCATTTGTGCTAGCCACAATAGTGGCTATTTATACTGTGCCACACTTGGATCTTCTCAGCTAGAAGAACAAACATTTTGAAATTTTTCAGATCAGGACAATATAGAAACTGGGATTAATGAGAATGGCAAAAGGCATTTTTAAGACAAAAAAGAATAACTATTTTCTTGATGCACTTGAATGCCTAATAACTTTTATTATTTTCTCATGCTTTCCTGTATTTGAATCATGAACAGCACTCATTTCTTTGAGCTTCATCTAGTCTGATCTACGGTTTGACATGACTGCACAATAGTAATTGCACTTTAAGACTGCAGTTTCTTTATTTCATATTAAAAACTCTGTTACAACTAAAGAACATATTCTGCAACCTTTCTTCCATCGGCTTTGCTGTTGCAGTCCATTGAATTAAAAAAATAATTTCTTCACTGACTTTAAATATCAGGTATTATACTTCTATTGTGCCAATACTAGAAAACTGCATCTTTCTTAAGCTACAATGTACATATGTATATACAAAAAATTCAAACCATGGATGTATCTAAATATACTTTTATAGATTTTACATATTAAATGCTTAGAATAAAAAAACTGAATGACAAATATAAAATCTTCAAAAATTGAAAATGTATAAAGATTTTTTGTGAAATTAAATTCAGTGATGCAGAATAACATGACACATTTTATATTGTTACTCAATGCATGATAATTTAATGATTTTCTGATTTCCAATAATTTGTAATTAAAATTATAAAGTAAAATGGGGAAGAAAGGATTACAAGACTTCTCAGTTAACAGCCAAAGTGTTTTTTAAATATATTTTCATGAGAGAAATGTTGTCATATTCATTGCACGTACCTTGAATCTCATTTTATTAAAGTGGGAAATTCAGTTAAACAGGAATAAGTTCTAATAAAGTCATTCTTTACAAGGAAACTTTTAAAACTAAGATCATGTATCAATTTGTTAAACAACAGAGATTTATAAGCAACTTAAGTCAAATCGCAAAATTGTGTTGGTTGAGCAAAGTAGAGGCATTTTAGATGAAGGGTAATTCCATCTTTATTTGTATAATGGGAAAGATATATGCTACAAATATGTATCATTCTTTTTCTTTAGAATCACAGCTCCTTATCAAATATGACAAGTCCAGAAAACACAGGCTTCTCCAGATTGTTTTTTCTACAAGTGTGCATTTGTGTGTACTGCACTCACAAATGCCTACATAGTTGCCATCTACTAGTATGCAAGCAAACTGCCACTGTGCATAGAAACAGTAATGAAACAGAGCACATGGGTGAACTAAACCACCATTATATCACAAAATATAACAGATAGCCCTTACACATCTTAAAGAGTGCAGTATATAGAATACGATTTAGCCATTTTATAACTTCCTTAATTTTAAAAGTCTAATTGGAATTAAAAATACAAGAAAAAGTTAAAGGGAAGATTATCCTTTGAAATTAAAAACTTTTTGATATCCCATGTTTAATTGATTTCTACAAATTAAAATTGTAGCTTATGGTTTATTCCCTTTTTAATAAAATGCATTACTGAAAGTACTGCAAAGATCTGAATATGAAATTAAGAAAATTCTTAGCTATTTTTTTCCAGGAATTACATTAAAGCTGAATAGCAATTCTATTAAGATTGCTTTTTGTTAGTTATTTTTGAATCTTTACAGCAAGCAATATATGTAGAAAATCAAAAGTACATTAGTACATATTAATTCTCAAACATTTCTAAAGATGATTTTAAAATATCACCTACCTACTTCACTACAACAGTTATATTTAAACCCCATTATAACTGGTAAGGTAGCAGTTTAGTTTTTAATTTAACTGAGAAACAGAAGACTTAATGTGCTTGAACTTCCAGTCAGTACTCTGTACTGTATTCACTTCCATGTGCTTCCCACATACTATTTGAGAATTTATGTGCATGTTTATTGACACAATTCCAGCTCCAAAATTTCACTTTACAGACTGAGTTATTGGCAAAACCGTTCCACTTTTATATTTAATAGGGAAGATCATGAGGATATCACGTCTTTAAACTGAATCTTGCGTTAAAAATGTAGTATATAATGCATTCTATTGTTTAATGCTAATAAAGGGACTGAGCTCTGAAATTTTCATCTCCTGGTATCTGGGTATGCTACTGAAATTTACACGAATGCTGGCTTAATTTCCTTCCAATTGTATGGAAAAGAAACAAAATACACTAAAACCAAAGGGAATGGGAAGATGAAACTATAAGCTTACATTAAAATGATACAAAAAACAACCCATAAATGAGCATTCACAAGATGTATGAAAACTAGAGATATTCTTAAAAGCAAATTAGTATCAGTTGAAATATTCCAGTAATACACTGGCCACATATTCATTTCCAGAGAGAGAATTCATTTATATTAAAGGCATTCATTTAAATAATGAAAACAGCATGTAATCAGCTGTATTTTCTGATGTTGACTGGAAAATGGATTTACATGTGTGCAAAACTACATCTACTGTATTAAAACCAATACAGTAATCCTTTGCACTTAAAGGGTGTTGGACTATGGGATTAGCCCGCTGCAATTAAATGGATTCAAGCATGTTTTCACTTTTTGGGATTAGATTGTAAACTGTCTTACGTATGTGCCCAGGAATTGTATAACACACTTTTTTCTAATTTATCCCTGTTCATTTTCTAATTAAAGTGCTTGGAAAATTGGAGCACATTAATTATGTTAATACTCTAAATACATGAAACTAATTACTAGGAGAATAACTAAGTCTTTTAAGTAGAATATGTTGTCAACTTCAGCTGTCTCTCATTTCTTCCTATCCAGATGTGTTGAGATTGAAACTCCCAACATTCCCTTAGGAACCATGGCAGTGGTGGGACTCAAATATTTTTTACTACCGGTTCTGTGGGCGTGGCTTGGTGGGCGTGGCAGGGGAAGGATACTGTAAAATCTCCAGTCAGAAGTGGTATTTGCCAGTTCTCCAAACTACTCAAAATTTCCGCTACCAGTTCTCCAGAACTGGTCAGAACCTGCTGAATACCACCTCTGAACCATGGTTTCAAAAACTTTTAAGGGTGCAAGTCTATGAAAAAATGTTATTTGATTGCAAGATGAAACATTTTGCTGTTTTACAAGTGACATTCTAGAGAACATTAAATACATTCTAGTACGAACTGGCAAATTCACATAGATAAAATGGTGCACAAAAAGTAATTCTGGTAGAAATTAGCTTTATCTTATTCACTTAGTTGAAATTATATCCAATTATCTTTACTTTTAAAATAGCAGGGCATGCTCACAAATAACTTGGCATGACGTTGCAGCTAATGCTCAAAATTTTCATTTTGCTCTTATATTCTTTCTGAGGGGATATATAAAATCTTCACCTACCATTTAATATTTCCAACTCAGATTTTTTTGTTTTTCAAAAGTTGCAGAGTAAATCTGAATTTCATATTCATTAATCTACTGCTGTGCATACTGTCTATACTGTAATGCCTTAAAAATGAATATAGCATTTTATAAATGAAAACAGCAAGATGATTTATGTAAAACAACTATTAGCACAAGAAACTAAAGCTACACAGAAAAATGTTCCAGTGCTTCCAACAAGAATTAAAATATTGCCATCTAGTGGCATCATCTTGCCTCCAAAAGTGGATAGATTTCATAGTAATTATATTTATCTAGCGATATTAGTCATTTATTTACAAGTCAGGGGCAGACAGCCAAACACTGATAAAGTGTGAAATAAATAAATAAATAATGTGGAATATAATATGGTAAACAGAAAAAATCCTCTAGGCTAGTTAGATAAAACTATGACTAACATCTAGATTGCCAAGAGAAAGCCATTTAATAAAACAGGCTCTTTGTCTAAATTTAGTTTGGACAACTGGTTTTCAAAAATGTGTTGAAAGCAAACTATTCAATTTATTGTACAAAACTTTTATTTTAGGACTGATATTACATTAAAAAAATTGTGCACAAATTAGGTTGCATCAGAAAATAGGAATTGTTAGAATTATATTTTAAGCCTGACAGTCCTTAAGACACCCATTTTGTCTATTCTGTTCATGTAACTCAGAGGTGTCAAATTCGCATCATCATGGCGTCACATGATGTATCAGGACTTTTCTCCCCTTCACTAAACGCATCCAGTCGCAAATTTGACAGCTCTGATGTAACTCCTCGATGTATAAAAAATGTTGGTCAACTCTGACTTAAAGGAGACAGGTGTCCTTTAAGTCAGAGAATCAGATCAAGAATGAGGATGGTAGTTACAATGGTATGACTGACACTGTTTTTCTAATGTACATGTTTTTATTACATCTGGTTTTTTTTAATGTACACATAAAAAGCAGGTAGAGCTTTGATTGCGTTCCTGCAGACATCTCTGTAAGGTGATTTTAAAAACAGTTAAAATGAAAATGGCAACAGGCAAACTAGAGTTGTGATACAAAATCCTTTTTTCTGTATTTAGGGAAAGGCTATGTAAGATTTGGAAAGATTTACGAACATCAAAGTTGTTGAACAATGTACAATTCTGTACATTATAATAAAGTAAACATTTTCTGTTTTGTTTCTTTCCCCACTAATTTTAGGTCTCATTAGCACTAAGAACACAAAGAAGATGAGAAGAATGGCACTAAAAGCTCAAACCACATCACTCATCATCCCATAATCCTCATTTGATCTATTTCTGTTTTTGAGAGTTGAAGAACATTGAAATTTGCAGTTTCTCTGAATAAAGGCAAGCTTGAGACAGGCATCTTTTCTTACTCCAGTAGCCCCAGACCCAAGCTAACAGAATAAATCTAATTCTGCAAACTAAGATTTTATCAACTCAAGAAGTTTAATTATGTTTAACAAAGCTCAGTCACAATAATTGAGAAATAAGCAAAACAGAAATCTTCACAAAGACATAACTGTAGCTAATCTCAGATATTACCTGTATAATTTTAATTTTGGTAGCTTCCATGTAAATCACTTTCAGAATGACTGATAAATGGGGGTGCCCACAAGAACATCTCCCTTCAGGCATCTGTTCTAGTTTAGGGAAACAGCTACCATAAAAAGAGCACTCAATACATCATCAAGGCAGCAGCTCAATCTTAGAACATTCTCATTGTGAATACCAAGGTTTATATGCTGACATTTGGGAAATGGCACAATATTACATATAACTGAATAAGTGCAGAATAAGACAAATGACAAAATATATTCAACTTTTCAGAGAAATTTTTATGTTTAAGATTAATCAAATCCAGGATGACTTATTTTTTGTATTACATTGAATGCTTATTTGAATGAGCATGTATGAAATGTGAGGCCTCAAAATTATATCAAACATATATTATTAACACAGCAAACAAGATGTTCAGTATGATCTGGTCTTAAATTTAAGTACTGTAGTGAAAATATAGTTGTCAAGCTTCTTCAGATTTCTGGAATCAGAGTATGCCAAAACAAAAGTTTTCTAATACAAAATATTTCTATGATACAGTATGTTGAATCATTAATCCTAGAAAAAAATTACTTTGCTTTTGATATATATGTAGGCTGTCTGAGATTATTCTGTGATCACCACATAATTAGCACTGGCATGTTTTAGAGAGAAAGATGCAAAAGTGAAAAGGATTACAATTCCAATAATTTCTTGCCTGAAAACTGATCATGCTACTAGAAAATAATCTATTAGCAGCAACTTTGGATCTTACAAATATTGTTACTTTATTACAAGGGCAATAGATTGCCACCTAGTTTATTAGCTTACACGTATTGCAAAATACAGGAAAAGTACGTGTAATAAGATAGCATTAAATAATCATCAGGGAAATGGTTTCCTTTAATTCATAAATTCACAAATTAGATAAAAGAATACAGTTGCTGAGAGTCAAGAACAAAATCAAACAGCCTTTCAAATTATCCATGTCTTTTCTGTTAGGTAAGAATATGCCTATTCTTATGCAATTTGCACTGATTCACAAAATATAATTACTTATCTGAGCACAAATATCAACATATTCCAACAAGCCAGTATTTACTGAACATAATATTCAAATCCAATGGCCTATTCTATGCATTTGATTGCATAACAAGTAGTTAAGTTTTATGATCGTCATCAAGAACTAATGGGGCACTCTCCGTATTTTCTGCATTCTGTTTCTCCTATAATTATCCCTAGTCTTAGTACAGGTCTTTTAGATGTTCAGGAATTATAATCCAAAACAATTTCTGTTCTTGTAGTTGCCAGCTTCCCATCTTATGAATACCAAGTTTTAATTTATTTTATAAACTCTGTATTCAACACAACAGAAATAACTTGTATTACAAAACCAATGGGTACCATAAATCCTTTGCAATTTTTGTGAATTTTTGCTCAGTTCATAACTTGTAGTGTTATTTTTCCAATATCTTTAACACCACCTGAATGCCCAAAAGACTTTTGGTAATGAGAAATTCATTGGAAAATTCACTTTAATTTTACCTAAGCGTAATTATTTTCTTTGAAATTGATTAAACAGATTTTGGGTAGAGCTTCTTTCTCACTTTATACAACAAGCAGATGAAAAAATATTTCAAGACTTTTAAATAATTTTGCTTTCTGCTATAATTTCTTGCCATAAGCAAAGTTGCCAACCTTAAATATAAAGCTTGCATCATGCAAGCTGCAGGAGCCAATAATTCACTATATGTAAGATCTACTACAGTGAACACACTGCACTTTCTGATGGAAGCACTTACTAACAGGAACAAATACGTTCCTCACATTGGTGTACACAAGCAAAAAGGCAAAGTTCTAACCATTTCAGGAACAGACAATTTAATCTGTATTACATAAATTCACTAAATACAGTTGGTATCATCCAGAATCACTCTTGAGAGTGAAATAGTTCAGCATTACATTTTATATACAGTTATGAAAAGATTAAAAACTAGAAGCGCATCCACAAACAAGATTTTCTCACTCTACTTACAGTAATTATTGAATCATTCCATAATATTTGTTTTTGAAAGCCTTGCCCTACTAAGTGGCCCAGCTAGGACCCTAATTCTACACTTATAATCATCATATTATAAGCTGTGGAATGCTTATGTTATTGTTGTCTTTATTTTATTTTATTTTTGGCAAGAGATCTGCCAAGGTAAGAGTAATTCCCCATACTATGTTCTGCCAGTTCTGGCTATCTGTAATAAATTCTAAGTTCAGGCTAATAAATGTTAAAGTACTTAGCCAGTGCAAACCAGCTTTAGTTTACTTTAACAGAGAACATACCTTTGAAGCTTTATTCTTTCACAGAAATATCAAAACATATGTACATAAATCTTCCTTGTAATCTCTTCCAGTGATCAAGTTCCTTCAAGGAATGAATGCTTTCTCCTGATGTACCAGTTATACAATACAGTATGAACAATACTACTGTTGCTAGAACCAATTAAGTGAGTACCGGGTATGAGTAAGCTTCTTCAAGTCACCAAAGTCAGAAGGCAGATACCAGAAAACACAAAGAATAACTGTGTTTGCATGCTTTTAAGTGAAACATCAGACAAGTAGTTTGTTCATCATCTTCTTTGTAAATTGCAAGATGTTTATAAAAGCTTATCACAGCGAATTGTGACGGTATATGACATAAGTAGCTCGTCCATTTAAAAAAGCATTAAAAATCAAAGGCAAAATCAAAGATTTATATTTTTCCTGGAACAGTTCTCAGCTATGTAAAATCTACATAGCACTGCTTCATTATATCCAAGGACATACAAAATTCTTATAAGTATAAGCCTTCCAAAATATCAATTTCAAATACTTTCTTATGATGGATTATGTAGAATAGCTGTATTGTACTTTCAAAATCATCTA